AAAATATTAAGGTCATGATCAACCATAAGTTAACAGGGGCCACATTAATTGGGTCTTTTGTGTTGAAATGGCATAAAGTCTCCATTAATTTGATTGTCAGTTCACGTGAGTGGAACATTTGAGTCTTTTTTTTTTTTTTGCTTTGAAACGTTTGTGCAATAAATTTCAGAATTTAGTAAGTTCTTACAGATTTTTATTTTTATTTTTCACTATATGTATATCCTTTTTTATTTTATTTATTATGTTCGATGACGTCCTTTTTTCATAAAATGTAGGACGACATAAATGGTCTGAGGGCACAAGAAGCTGCAAAAGCAAATGTTGAACCAACTAGAGTAATTGCGTATTTCATTTCTGGTTCTAAGAGTTGTTCGATTTTCGGATTCTGTAATATTATTTATTTATGATGGAGTGATGTTTAAAAATTACAATTTGGACAACAATTTGCATATTCACAAACAAATATTACTGCTGGAATTGAACAAGGTGTAGCGCGGCATTTTTTTTTCCGAACACTAGACGAATAGGATTCGGTGGTTCGGCGTCCTTCGTACCAAAAACCAAGAACTAATTTCAATAGGAAGGGATCTATAACAAAGCGAAGGCCAAGAGCCGGTGGAAGTTCAAGCTCGGCGACAACTCTTAGCGAAGCATGGAACAACTTGATGACAAAATGACGCCGGTTGAAATCTATTATATGTTTTTTTGTCAACGAACTCTATTTTTTGGTGAAATGTGGAAGATTGTGAGTTATTGTATGTTATGAAGCTGTAAGACCATTTTGTTATGGTGATTGGGAAGATTTTGTTTGGGTTTGGGCCTTAATAGCAAGAAATTTGCACTTGAAGTCCTCAAGTCTCTATGGTCCTTCAAGTTTGAATTAACATCGTAATAGTCCAAATAGTAAGTTGAGTGATCGTTTTGTGAAAGCGCATGAAACTTCAATGATCATTTCTACAAGTTTTAAACTTCAGTGACAGTTTCGTAATTTTTAGGTAAGTTCAGTGACTGTTTATGAAATTAACCCCAATGTTTTTCTCAAACTTTCTTGTACCTTCTAAAAGCAGGACTATTTTCCCTTTTTTTTTAATAGAGAAAACATGTTTTTAGCAACATTACTTCTCCACGTGTGTAGCACTTTTCTGATTTGGCGTTCACAAGATGAGACAAAGTGCCATGTATACAATTTCGTCAGCCACATCAGCATTCCCATCAAATTTTTAAATGACTGTTAGGGCAGTGATGGACAAGATTACAAATTGTAAAACTTATTGGTTAACAAGATGATTTTTAGAGCACAATAATCTCATGAAAACCTTTTGCAAAGTTCAGTGACCATCTGGATTATCATCCCCATATGTTTCTATGTAGTATATACCAAGTGCTTGTTTTGTACATATTATTTAGTTAGATCAGACAATATAATAAATAAAATGTTTGTTTTCATTTCGCTCTTAATATTGTCTAATGTTATATAATTCTTTCTAATAAACGTATTACAAAATTCATATAAATTTTGTACTGGATAAATAATAATTCCTTTATGACATTAATGTCCACAACAATATAATCCACTATCAAATAATATTAAGCCCTTGTTTGACATCCTCAAAAAAAAAAAAAAACATTATTTTGAATAGTATTTTTGAAGAATGTGTGGTTAAAAAATAGGGAAATCTTTTTATTTATATGTAAAATATTTTATTGTACGAATGTGTGGTTGAAAATGAATATGAGAAATAAAACATGGGCTAGAATTAATAATCTCTTCACAAATATAATTTTATCAAATAAGATAAAATCAATATGGTCTTTCACCAATATAATTCCCCGGGGGATAATAATTACAAGTCATGAACGCATCTCCAGTGTCACAAACCAGTCGAGCACACCCAATCCGCCTTGTGTTTTTCCAAACAATCTGTGTATAATGTCCACACTGCTGCCTTTCTGCACACGAATTGCTCTTATATCTATAATATTTCTCTTCATCCGCCCATGCTCGCACTGCATCAGCCGGCGTCCACGTCGAGCCACCGCCCCAATATATATTCTCGCCTAGCGTGAAATTGCCTTCTGGGAATGAATGAGCCAGTCGACAGTCCGACCGGCGCTGTCCCGCCCACCACCCTGCGTATTTTTCCAGTTGATTATCCCAAACGAGTGGTGCCTCCATTTTTGCTGCCCTTACCATATTGTGTGCATACAAGAATTGCATGGACTGCCCCATGCAGTTCCAGCAGAGCTGCTTTGAAACTTCGTATATAGTTTCATTATCTGGCCTTTTAGTGGTGAGAGATGGCTCTGATGATATTGGAATAATGGTGAGAATCATGAAGAAAACAAGAGGATTATGTTTCATTTTTTTTTTTCCTAGATAGCTCTCCTATTTGACTTTTCAGCTTTTGATAACACGGTCGAGACGTCAACCAGTCCTTTGCCACTATAGCGACGGAGGGACTGAAGTTTGAGATTTGAACCTTGGGCAGTAGCACTGGATAATGTGACTTGCTAGTGTTTTATAATGATTTCAAGACGAATAATGTCACTTGATTACTCGAACTGAATGTTTTATTACTTTGTAGAGTTTTTTTTCATAAATATAAAAATAATTTAGTGGACTCAAAACGTTACACTCCAGCTAGATACTGTATCTATGATTGTGAGGGAACGTGATATGATAACATTCATAAAGGAATAAGCATATTTTTTTTGCAAGATACTGTAATTATCAGGACTTAAGCAACTAAAAAACTAGGATTTAAAATTCCCAAAATAGATTGTCAGTATAAAATTAGAGATCACGTGTCACTCTAATACTAAAAAATTAAATCTAATATTATATATTTGAGCAAAACCACTGGCGGAAGGGGGGTGGGGGCATGGTGGAGCAAGTGACCCACCAACATTTTGATTTTTTTTTTCCGCCTCGATAATTATTTATTTCTTGAGAAGAAATAGCGATTCAAGATGAAGTTCAGTAAACGTAATGAGTAATTTTATTTCTTAAGTACCCCACCATTTCTTAACTAAGCTTAAAAATTACTCAATAACTTGTTTAAAAATATAAGTTGGGACCTATTTTTTAAGAAACCTACTTATATAAACTCGTCAATTATCATATCGAATCATGTCTAAGTCTAACCTAACGAATACGTTTCTAGAATATCCATAAACAACTGTGATACGCCTACATTTGACCAATATTGTCTAATGCAACACTACATATAGTTCAAAATGTTGGCTTCACCAAAAATTCTATATAATCTAGATGTATATTCTCTTTGGTTTTTATTCTCTTGCATTCCACTAA